CTGTTACAAGGACTCAAAGCCTTCGCCCATCAGAATTAAGTAGTATTTTTGGAGGAGAGCTTAAAAGTTTGGTGAGAGCTAAAGGTACAAAACTTAACTTTATTATACGGTGTTAGTGAAGGAATTTGCTTTTGTTTTAACTGTAAAGATCATTAAGATTTTGTCGAATTTCATCTGGTCAGTCTGTTGCTTCATGCTGAGTAATTGTAATTCTGGGAATTTTACTTTTTGTTCTTGCCAAAATTCACCTTACCTTTTATTGTTGATATTAAAACTTGAAAGAAGAAATGGAAATGTAAATGTAAATGAAGTATCTAAAAGCCAATGTGGCCATGTCATGATTTATTTTTTGTCATTTAGGAAATAAGTCGGCCTTTGTTCAACCATATCTCTTACTCCATCTTGACATCTATCCTGACACCGTACACACTATCGAGGATGCACTACGCTTGTTTTCTGCATCAGAAACTCTTGAAGGGTACCGGGTATCACCCACTGCAAAGGTATTTAACCCTTTTAATATATTATCTTTCACATTTGACATACAATGTTCATGCAGATAATGTTTTTATGCAATTGGACTATGATACATTGGTACTAAAATACTCCTAAATAGTTGCCATTATATTTTAGTACTACTGGTACCTGTGGGGTACTCTGCTACACATTCAATACTCACTCATTACACAAGTATAAATCAGTCCATTCTTAACAAGTTTTGATGCTGTGTTATTTGCTTTGATACTAAATGACACAAATTGTTGCTTCACTTGAATCACTCCCTTCAAAACTTGTGCCCTTAAACGTGTTTAGGGACTTTATAGTTATAACATTGGGAACTATGTATGCGTACAATGATTTTAATGGAGTTTATAGCTTTAGAAACTCATTTGTACTCTATATTATGTGTGGAACTGTATGTTCTTTGAGTATGAATCCTTAGGTTCTTTCTTTTGCTGACTTTCTCCATTTTGTATTTGTTTAACTCTCATTGCAAACTATATTTTATATGTTTTTTTACCCAACCTCTTCAATGATTTGTTGGTATCAAAACAACAATCTACTTGCACATCAGTACCCCTAATGTCACTCTTACCCATATCGATGTAAAACAGTGGAACATGAACATCAACTGCTTTCAAAATTCTAAAACTCAGGTTGTTTAATGGAGTAGGACAAGAAACTAATGTCGGAATTTTAGCTATTTGCTGCCTTTCATGGTCTTCATGTCTACTCCATTGGCAATTCTGGCAGCATGTCTTTTTTGTCATTAATTCAACTATTCTGACATTCAATCTGTCTTAACTTGGCTTTTTATAGTGGTAGCCTTTCGTTGCAATAGAGGATATGCTTTGTACTACTGCAATTAAAATATCCATTTAAATTTCTTTCAGGCTGGTGTGGTGACTGCAAGAAAATCTGTACAAATAGTGACGCTTCCTAAAATAATGATATTTCACCTGATGCGTTTTGGTTACGGAAGCCAGGGAAGCATCAAGTTGCATAAGGCCGTGCAGTTTCCTCTTGAGTTGGTATTGAGTCGTGATTTGCTTGTTTCACCATCTACTAAGGTGACGTAATGTCTTTATATTCTAGCCTCTCTGTTTCGGATGTATATGTGTGATCATGTTGATAAACCATGGCCTCTCTTTTTGGTTACTAGAATGCAGCTACTTTATTGTCGATGTACTGATCTTTTTGTTTTGGAGATTGTTCTGTGAAGGGTTTTGCACAATAAATTTGTTTATATTACCTCAAATATTACTACTTTTTTCGAATTCACTTTTATTCCATCAATTCATGGAATCTCTCTTCTAAAAACATGGATAGATAGCTAAGTTTCTGATACATTATTCTTACCTTAAACAACTTGCTATCACACTAATTTCAACAAAAATCAGGCATTCTGCTGCTGATTTTAAGTGAATGTTTCTACTCAGTATCTTAAGAAAATAAAACTTGCGAATGTAAGAAGATATTTGAGTACCTTTATGATAACTGATACTTTAATCTTCCACTGCACCCTCAGAATAATTTCTGGAGTATTATTGAATGTTGATTGGAAGAGGGCACTGTGGCTGAGTGTTTTTTATGCTTCTGCAGGGTCGAAAGTATGAACTTGTTGCTACAATTACTCACCATGGAAGGGAGCCTTCGAAGGGGCACTACACAGCTGATGCCCAATACCCTAATGGTCGGTGGCTACGATTTGATGATGCATCTGTCTATGCTATTGGAACAAATAAGGTGCTGCATGATCAAGCCTATGTCCTTTTCTACAGACAGCTGTGAAAGTATTCATGTTGTGTCAAATATCTACTCCCTTCCTGCACGTGACACAAAAAACACTACTCCCCCTATAAAAAAGGATTGCCAGTTGATTAGTATGGGGAGAATGTGGGTGATTATTTATTAGCTGGTCAATGTCCTTTGCTCAGGGCTCAGTTTGCTAAAATGTCATAAATGGTTGATCCAATTCAGTGTGTGAGAAGAGTAATTGTTGTAACATTTTTTTTATGTTATCTTAAACTAGAAAAGTTTTGTAGTCCTAGTTTAGGACATGAACATGTATTTATGGTAACATCCAGTAAAGGTTTATAAGAATGTGCTAAATATTAAGAATTAATTGACTTGGAAGAGGATTGGATCTAAAGTTATTAAGCCTTTAGTTTGATGCGTTTCTCGTTTATTGAGTGTTAAATATTGCAGCTTCTTTTATGATTTAATGATTCTTTAGATCTCTTCGATTCCAGAAGCCATGTTAAAATTTTCGGACTTCAATTGTCTAAAACCGGTGGAAAATTCAAAGAACAATCGATCACGGTCTAACCATATTGGTTGCCAGTTGTTTTAGACAGAAGCATGGTTTCTCTAACATTTGATTTTACTGTAATAAATTTTTTGTTGTTTTGCTGTTTATTTTCCGCTTGATGCTACTCAAATTTCATGCCGTATTTTGCCGAGAACGATATACAAGTAAATTGCTCGCTTCTTCCTCATTTTTTAATTAAGAATTAAAGTGGGTTCTTCCCCATGAACGAAGGAAGTAAGAAAATATCCCAAGCGACATTCTTTCATGTTTTTTCGCTCCATGTTTGGGGTTAATCGACTTTGAAGTTCTAGTTGAAACATGTTAATGATTTTCTCTCATTTAATAAAGAAATCTTATTTTAATTCTTTAAGTGCAGTTGAAAAAGTCCAACCCAACCAACATTTAAAATTGTTACTTTTGAATTAGCTTCTTGCTTTAGATTTTTTTAAATGACTGACTTCAAAATTTGTCCGCAGGTTGGCTGCGCCTGCATTACTTTCAAGTTTTATACTCGTTGCTTAAATTGATTGCTTCATTTCTTTCACATGGCTCGCAGACTTGCTTCTTCCTAATCCTTAAAAAGCAAAGGTTGTTGGTACAAATTAGAGGAAACATCTTTTGAATATATTAAGCATAACAAACATCATATGGGTATTCTCTTGTACATGGATAAAATATACTGCTTTTTATGTCTGGTCCAACCCCAGCCAACTAAATATTGCTTCGGGAGAGAAAGAAATTAGGTTGTCTGGCTTCCTGGCTAGTGAATGGTGGCTTTTTTAACAATTTAAAGCAATGAATTGCCTGGTTTTAAGATTTTTCGTGGTCCAACCAGATACACATCGCTGCTTTTACTTTCTTTGTACCAAATGGACGGTGGAAGAGCATAAAGGACACTCTAAATTAGGCACAAGGACCTCTCCCTAGTTAAAGTCAAAGTCTTCAGAATATCACACTTAGATTACTTCTCAAACGAAATTGTGGAATATTTTGTAGTATCTAGGAACTTATACTAGTATTATTACCATTGAAAAATAAACCATCTGAGTAAATTGCGTATCTATATTTCAAAGAGTCAGAAAACTGCAAATAGTTTATTTCAAGACTGCTGTTGGTTTTTCATTTCATCCTCGTTTACCCCTTTTCTTATTTATGCCAGTTGCTGGTTTCCATGAAGGAATATCACTCGTTTAAGAAGCATTCTTTTCTATCAGGTAGTTGTTTTGAATACTGACCATGATCTACAAACAGAAAATCAGATATAGATACTTTTAACCACTCGTTTCCTACTATTTCACACAATCAATATATTTTAGTTCCAACACTAGTTTCTATAATTTTAAATAATGTAAGCTAAAATAAATCAAGAAGTGTATTGTGAAGACTATAAAATATAAATACGTATTCTGCACTATATTCTTGTTCTGATCTCATTTGCCTCCTCCAACAAAATAAGAAGCATAATGAGTAATCTGATTCAGATATCATAGATCCTGAGATATGATTCCTTGACTCAGATAACATAATTGTTTGTCCCGAGAATCTTTTTTCCTTTTCTATTCTTAATCCATAGTTGTTTGTTTGGTGGTGGTGGTTGTATTTGTATTGGCTGCTGAAGAGCTCATAAGATATTTGGATGCATTAATCTCTGTAAGGTGCGCATCATTGTAACAAAGTGCAATGTTCTGCTGTCCTTTTCCTAGAGCTAATTACTAACAAAAAAGTTATGTCTATTTAGAGCTTCGAATGGATGCAGCATTCATCATGCTACTAACAAAAGAAAATAATTTATTTCCATTGATTGAATCCTTTATAGGCATAGTTACAATTGTATACAAATATAAAGGTAAAATTTAAGAAAAGAAAGAAAACTATAACCACACCACTCTGCTATGTCCCCTAATTTCTTCAACAAAACAATAAAAAACAAACCACCCTAACGTTCTACAATCAGCTCAGAAAAAATATATGAAATTGACACCAATGGCAAACCGAAAAGAAAAACAGCACCTCCAAGAACCAATCAAAATCTTCAGAGTTCCCCTTCTCTTAGCTGCTTTAGTCTAAAGTAACTCTTTCATTTCAGTCTATATGCAACCTAAAACAAATTCAAAGGAGAAAATGAATCAAGAAGGAAGCACTTCTGACACTGTTAAAATAGATCGTGTGCTTCATCACTCATGTTCCTTTATGCTAGCATGGACTTATTCTCTGTGCCAAATTGTGTAGAGCTATTATCCTCTACTTCTGCATCATTATACCTTGGAACCCACCAAACTCTCACACTTCTGTCAAGGCTTCCGCTGTACAATAAAAAACCACCACCAATCCTACTAGATGATGAAGCTTGCAAACACTTCACAGGCCCTTCATGGCCATTTATGACACCAACTTTACAAAGCTTACCAAAAGCCTCTCTTCTCCAAATCCCTATGCTTTTATCTGCTGATCCACTGCACAAAAACTCCCCCATCAGACACATGCACAACACAGCCATCTCATGTGCCTTGGTCTCAGAAACCAGCTTCCAACTCTCAAAACATCCACTCCCCTCCCACCCCATCACAAACCCATCGGATCCTCCTCCATAAACCCATTTCCCATCCTCAGAAACAACAATAGAATTAAACGAAACATCCTTATGACCCTCCAAAACCCCCTTCAAGCAATGCTCCCCCTTTCCCTCTTTTCTCCCCCAAGCTTTAATCTTTCCATCAGCAGAAGCAGAATACACCACCCCTTTACACGCCACCAGCCCATTGATTGCATCATCATGAGCCTTAATCGACTCCAAACACTTCAAATCCGAGAGCTTCCACACCTTCAGAGTCTTATCCCACGAACCAGAATAAATCAACCCGTTATAAACCGTCAAGCAAGAAATGCTATCCGCATGCTCAATCCACAAACGCTTGTGGTGCCTCCGGGTTTGGACATAGTTGCTCTGCTTCATGAACTTCCCCAGATAGTCCTTGGTCGTGGGAAGAGAATCGACAAACTTGAACACGTTCTCCGAGCTTCTTGACACCTTCCAAACTCTGATCCTGCTATCTTGATGTGCGGTGAAAACCTTGTTGCCAACCGTTGCAAGTGCTTTCACCGACCCCTCTCCTTGTCCGAACTTTGCAAAGACCCTCAAGTCCGGTTGCTGCCAGACTATGATATCCTTACCCTGAGAGGCACTCAGGATGAACTCACCGCACAGGGCCAAGCATGAAACGGAACCCACGTGTCCGGAGAGAACAGCGAGCGATCGGTGAGAATTGAAGAAGGCAGAAACAACGATGGGTATGCGTTGGGAACAAAAGGGGCTGTCATCGTTCTCGCTGCTGATGCTGCTGCTGCTGCTGCTACTGCTACAGCTGGTTGATGTTGAAGTTGGGTTTGTCCAAAGTTTGGATTTTGAATTCATTGGAGCGGAAAGATGAGTTTGGGGAAGGAGCGTATTCATTGCAGCAAATATAACGGGTGACAGAGAAGGAGCGTTGTGATGAAAACAAAACAGAGGAATTATAGAAAGAATGAAAGAGAGAGAGAGAGAAACAGAGAGAGACAGAGAGTGGTTCCTTGTTGATGAGGGAAATGTTTTGTTAAGGTTTGAGGTTAATAATTGTGTTGTGTTGTGTTGTGTTAACGGCTACATTGACTAAGAAACTGATGCAACCATGGCCCTTTTGTAATGAGATGTTGCATGTTTTTGAGCTGTTACCCCTTTTTTTCTGCAATTTTTTTATTTCACCAATTACAATCTGCCATGTGGAAAACCTCAAAAAAGCTCTTTCTTTCCCATTAAGCATTTTGGTATCTCTTCAGCTCAGGTTTTCCATTTCTACAACCTGTTTTCTGTTTTCAAAATTGGTTTTGAGTTTTTATTTTTATTTTTATAGCTATATGATGTAATTGTATTTTGATGTGTGATTTGATGCATCATAATTGTGAGATTTAAGTGTTTTAGGCTGTAATTGTATTTGAGTCTTTCAAATACCATAAATATAATATTATTATTAGTTCCTTATATTTTAGTTTTTGTAAATTAGATTTCTTTAATATATTAATTGTGTAGTTTTAGCCTCCTAGAATGTTAGTTAAAGGAATTTCAATTGATCAAAAAAATTAAAATTATTTCATTATAATATTTAAAAAACTTTTTAATGGTTTTTATATATATAGAAATGAAAGAATAACGAGTTATTTTTATTAAAGTGTTTAATTTATTACCACATTAAATAATTAAATAAGACTAACATAATGTTTTTAGATATTCACTTATATATGAAAATGTTTTTGTAAAAAATTGACCAAAAATCGTTTTAAAAAACTATTATTTTGGGTTTCTACGAGTGTTGTCTGTTGAAAGATGAACTGACGTGGAAAATACTTTCCAAATTTCGTGTTTTGGAAAAATTATAAATTTCTTTTTTTTTCCAAAAAATATCTCAAAATTTTGATATATTACAATTGTAAAAGTATTTGCAGTCTACACTATTTAAAATTATCTCAAGTGTAAATTTTAAATTCAAATTGTAAAATACTTTTAGTATATAAAAATTAAAATTAAGTACTAACGTAATATATTGACTATGTAATCATACCATCCGTTTTTTCTAATTAAATTCTTAAACTTTACTAAAAGAATATATATGGTTTTGTTCACCGTTACTCAGAAAGAATAGCAATTAAATAATATATATTAGAAGTTATAAATAATATAAAAACTTATACTTTTAAATAAAACTTACTCTTTTCCCCCTTAAAATAGTTGTACTTTTGATTTCTTAACTATTATTAAGAAAATAGATTTTTTATACTATTATTTTTTGTAACCATGAAATATTGATTAATTTTATCAATAATTAATTTCTATAAAAAAATTTGACTGGTGAAATCCTCTATTCTAGTTACATTAGTGTTGTTTTCTAATTAGATTTCTTTTTCTTCCACAAAGTCAAAATTCAAAATCTTAGTTAACCATGTAGTAGATGATATTGTTATTACTAAAGTGTTTCAACATCATATTTTAAGTTATATAATATATATTTACACCATGATAACAGAATGAATTTAATGGGTGGGAGATCCTATTTTGAATTTTGCCTTCTTGAAAAGTATAAAATTTGAATTTGAGGGTCTTTCAAATATTTGCATGCAGTTAGCAGCAACATAAATGATAAAATAATTAAATTGCAGTGAAAACAAATGTATAAACAGTATATTTATTTGAAAGGGACAGAGCGTAAGTGTGTAATAAGAGAAAGAAAGATGGTTAATGTGATTGGTAGAGAGCAGCACTTTTGTTGTTGTTAGCTCACAGGAATCTTGTCAACATAACTAAATCATACACACATTCATATATATATATATATATATATGTTTATTAAGGATAATGATATCTGAGAATATTTTTTTGACAACATTTTAACATCATTTATGTGTTATTCTGTGATTGGTCATGTTGGTGTTTATGATTATTATTATTGATTGTAGAGTAATTTTGGATCAATGATAGAATGATACGTAAATGATGTTAAAATGTTGTCAAAAAAAAATGTTGTTAATCATTATTCATTTATTAATTCATGACAAAGAACATGAAAGAAAGAGAAAACATGCAAATTTGTCAACTTTTATCTCCATGAATAGATTTTCTTCCTCTATTTTTTATGCACAGTAGCTATGAATCAATAACAAAATTATAATAGATAGAACTTATAAACAATAAAGATCATCAAATTTATAATAGTCCATGTTATTTTGGAGTTATCAAAATAAAATCTGATTACTTTGTATGCATATTTTTTGTGTATTTTAATGTTTTGAAGGTAGAACACTGCATTTTAGAAAGAGTAATTAACAAAGAATTGATGGAAAGTGGTCGGCTGCAAACACATGTAACAACTAGTTTAATCTTCCATCATTACCACCTTTGTCTTTTACAAGAGAACATTGTGATTCCCAATAAATGGGGGAGAAATTTCAGTAAAAAGTATCTAAAAATCTTGAAAAGTTTAAAGAAAAGTTTCTTATTTCTATTAAATTATGGTGACTGTATATGCTGTTCATTGATGACTGATGAAGCAAAACCTAGTTTGTAATATTGTTTTAGGTAAAGAAGTGAGTGAGGTATTCATACAATTTATTATAAGTCATCCAATCTCCTTCTTTGCCAAAAGAAAATTATAATTAATTTAATTTGCAAGTAATTATTGGATTGCAATTTAATCATCTGCTTAAAAAGTTTAATGTAGTAACAATCATTTTATTTTCGATAACTTAAGTTGAGAGAGATTTTTAGATTAATAGTGTTTCTAGAAAAACGAAAAATAAGTGATGAAATTTGTTTACATATTTACGAAAAGATGATTGAAAATCTAAATATGAGACTAAGCTTTATATAACCTTATAATAAAAAACCTATAGATTGAAAATAGTATCAATTTATTGTGGAAGTTTGATTATACGAGTGAAGAATATTAAATGCAGGATTCTTATATTAATAGTCTTTTTGACAGGTTCAGAAACATATCCCTGAATTCTCCTTAAAGATGCAAGTTTAATATAAACAAAATTTATATGCACATTGACAAAATTTTGTTACAGTCACTCAACCACTTTAAACAATAATATAACAAATTTGCTATGAAATTTGATTGTTCATTCATTGTTTCATCATACTAAATTAATTACTTTTTCTTAATGCGTGGTTGATAGAATAATTAGAAGCAATAAGGCTTAAGTTTGTGCAGTAGGTGAGTTTGGTGAGCTGGTTTGGTATTTTAGCTAGGAAGAATAAATATGCTGAAGAATTGAACTCAGTTCTCTCAGTGCATGAGGTGTCAAGCATGCTTTTTATAGCTTTGTAGTTGCAGAAGCTATCATTGTCACACTCTGTGACTTGTGACTTAAAGGAAGTTCCAATGGCTAGCTTTTGTGTTCACCTCTCAATACTTACAATTTAAGCTAATTATTGCAAGTTTTCTGCAACAAAGGTTTAAAAACAAAGTTAAGATCAACTAAATCTCGATTGAATTCTAAGTACGAGTTTAAGTCTCACATTGAGTAGAAACGAGAAAGGAGAACATTATATAAATATGAAGATTCATTATCAAAGTTTTTGATAAAGAACGGTATCAATCTCTTATATGATTGGACTCAGATTTTATTGGTGTTATATCTCTAGTGTAAACCTCCTCTATAAAGCTAACAAACCTGGTATCTTTATGTAAAGTAACAATGTTATGTTATGAGAGTGTAATCTGATTGGGCTACTTGCACTCAGTGATTAATAACAATTTAAATTTGAGGAAGTTCCAAACAAGTGATTTGATTTAGATTCTGATATTTAAATAATGGTTCAGTGTGATAGGAGATGCATTTGGACATTCCTTCTTGAAATCGTGAATATCTGCTTTTTCCAACATAGGAAATGTTTGCTTCTGATATATGGCACAACATTACTGGTTTATACTGTGGAAATCTAGTTTTGAATTTAATGAACTGTTGAGTGATAGCCACCTGGAGGAGCAGTAACATTAAAGTAAACTAATTTCTGAAAAAAGTGTCAGAAAAAAGTTGGAAAGTGCAGCATAGTTTATGTGATTCGGTAGAAAGCAACATTTTATGTTATTGTTAGCTCACATGAATCACATCAACTCAACAAACTTGACCTTGTCGTTCTTATAAACTAATGTGAATTGCATCTCTGTGAGAGAGATAATGAGATTGGTGCTAACTTCTTTTCTTTTGCTTCTATTTTATTGTTTCATTCACAGGACCACGCAGGTTCTTACATAGATCAAGTGAATTGAAGTTGGTCGGCTACAAGCGTTGCATTAACTAATCAAAGATTGTCTTAAAGAAACAAGAGAACACATATAAGTAATACAGACAAGGTTAAAATTCTTTTATAGAATTAACGTTGTCTTCCATCAGTAGAAATTGCCTATGAAGCACATCCACAATAAGAAAAATCTATGATATATAAAGAGATTTGAATCCATATACACGTGATTATGCCTTTTCAAAAAGGACTAATTAAGACCATCAATTTGAAAGTTGAGGTTGGGAAGACGTACAATAATCTTAGAATGGAGGAAATTGATTGACAGATCCTAGTAAATAAGGACCACTGGCCCAAATGGGTGAAGGGTCCCCAATAAAGGAGGTGCGGAAAGTAAAAGCAATTTTATTTCCTACTCATCTTCACCTAGCTAGTTGAGTAAACAACCCCAAATGTGAAGAAAAAGCAATTGCATTTGGATGATGGCCAAAATCATAAGCCAGCTTTTGATCACATCACATTGTCATTAAAAAAATAATATTTAATTTTCTCTTATCTCTATATTCTATATTCATAAAAGACATGGTTATGTCATGGTCGTTTCACACCTCACTTTCTGACTTGGGTTTGAGGAATGAATGAATGAAAAGGGTTCGTATAAAATGGTTTAATTAATTTAGCTGTCGTTTTTAGCAATGAAGGGGTTTATTTTGNATCAAAATCTTCAGAGTTCCCCTTCTCTTAGCTGCTTTAGTCTAAAGTAACTCTTTCATTTCAGTCTATATGCAACCTAAAACAAATTCAAAGGAGAAAATGAATCAAGAAGGAAGCACTTCTGACACTGTTAAAATAGATCGTGTGCTTCATCACTCATGTTCCTTTATGCTAGCATGGACTTATTCTCTGTGCCAAATTGTGTAGAGCTATTATCCTCTACTTCTGCATCATTATACCTTGGAACCCACCAAACTCTCACACTTCTG